GCTTTTGCTAAGCTTGTTCTAAGTAGGTGCTTTAGACCACTGAGCCATCTCTCCAGCCCCATACACTGCTTTTTTAAAGTGACACACATCACATACTTGATGGCTTTTCTGATACCCTTGCTGACCTGGGCAGTTTCCCAAGTGTCATTAAAGTAAACATAAAGAGTTGAATCTCTTTTGATTTTTTTTTGTATGTGTATGATGTGGAGGATTGAACACACAACATTGTGAATAATAAGCAAGCACACTATGACTGAACTATGCCCTCAGCCCTTGATTTACAGGACTCGGGTTTTCTGGATTAGGAGAGGAATGATTTTTCACTGATCACTTGAGGCCAGTATAGGAAAGACAAGTATGAAGTTTTAAGTTATGTTCCTAGTCTTAAAAACAAGGTGTGAAAAGACATACCAATCAAATCTACATAGTGCCTTATTTAATTTCTACTTCTATCTTCTTCATAAAGCTTCCATAAACCCATAGATTTTTTTCTTTGAATTCCTTTAACATGTACTGCCTATGGCACTTGTTCTGATAATGAAGGACTGACAGCAAAGACTGTAACTTAGTTCTTTCCCTTTTCTTCTAAAATTCTTGCATAGTGCTGGCTATATAGTTCACTGGAATAACTTACTGAAAATATTTTTCTCTACTGCTACATTAACTTTGATATTTAATCAACAAATATTAAGTACCTACCAAATCCCAGGCACTGATTTAGATAGAACAACAAAACTAAGACCATGCTCACTTGAAGATAAATTTATAATTCCAGATACAGAAGTGATAAAATACTATGAAAAAAATAAAGCAAAACAAGGGAAGATGGTATGAGGTGAAAAAAGGACTTATCTATTACTGAGAAGGGGACCTTAGGACAGTTGATCTAAGGAACATATGGAGTGAAATAAGAAGTAAAAGGTAAGTAACTCATGATTCTTAGAACATTTCCAGTTGAGAAACTGGCAATCACAAAAGCTTTGAGCTGAGAAAATCTGCTTGACGTGTCTGAGGAAACCAGTGTGTCTATGGCACCATGGGAAAGACTGGATCTTTTCTAAGTAAGATGAGATGCCTAACAAGGAAACAAGTATGTTTATTCTGTTCATGGAGGAGGGGCGCAAGGACTTCTATCATATATAACTATAAAATACAAATAATGTCTTACTGTGAATTATCTTCATTGTTTATTCTTTTGAGCTCCCGTATGTGAAGATTTCTGACTCTTTCCAAACGTTCAAGTTCTGCCTGGATTTCTGCCTCTTCCTGAAAATGAAGAGAGGGGACTATAACAAGCTCAATTTATTTGTGATATAAAAGAGATATTTTTACCCATGCATCAATTTTCTACAGTGATGGGAAGAATAGTGCATTATAAAGTACCACTGAGTTAAGTGTGTTGTTCTCAATGCCTGAAAGATAGAAAGATAAGGCAAAACTTATTTCAAGAAACCATCCTCCATATAAAAATCTTCACTTAATGAGATGTTGCATTTTATTCTGTACTACAAATCTATTTTTATAATGTCTACACTAAAAAGACAGCACTTTTTTACAAAAAGTACTCTGATGCTGATTTGTACCACAAAATGAGCTACAATTATTTCTAGGCCATCTGAATTTTAACTTAAGAGTATAAAACAATAAAATGAAGATTTTTTTTTGAAGATATTTTCTAATAAAAGAGGAAGGACAAGGAACCACAGAGCATTCCTAGACCTTACAATATTTGGAATGCAAGTACACTCACACACAAGCTGACCACTCACTTTAGATAAATCACCCTTAATCCTAAGCAGACATTAACATAAAAGTTATAAATTGCTGTGGTGAATCTTCGGCTATCAAAGCAAGATCTAAAGAAAGGTACCTGAAATATCATTTAAATTTTTAAATAACTGTGTTTTTTCATTCTTTTTTTTATGAGCAGAATATATTTGAGGGAAAGAAAGCCCCTATCTGAGAGAAGGACAGGAGGGGGGACCCGAGCAGGATGTCTCCCTTTTCATTCTTGAAATAGTCTATTTTTTAGAGAAAATTTAAGACTCCAAAACAAGTCAGCATGTGTAGCACCATATCTCAATCTTAGCACACACTTCTGTTAATATAAATTTAAGTAGTAAAATATGGGCATAAATATGCCAAATTTGGGTGGAAATTTCTAGAAGAGTTCAATTAAAAATATTTTTGAATAAGAATTTCTGGAATAAATAATACAGATTACCTTGACCTAATATGTACCTATTACAGTTATAAATCTAGACCATATGGAAAAGCTTATTTGTAAGTATTACATCTAAATATTTCTCTATTTCATCAGCTCCTTTGCTTTTCCTTTACTGATTTATCTTTGATAATAAAAATTCTTCTACATAAAAAAGTAATTCTGAAATATACTGAAAATATAATTTCATTCAAATATGAAGAGGTCTAAAATATATTAGATCTATACATAATATGTGAGTTAAAATATTAAAAAACATAAAAAGAATATTTTTAAGTATTATGAAAACAGATCTTTGCAGATGTCTTTCACTTAACTTTAAATTATTTTAAAATAAAATTCAACACTTTGACAAGATATATAATACAGATTAGGTATTAGATGACCATTTCAAGATAAATTTAAGTAACAAGAAACTTCTAGAATTTCAGAAAAAATTCTAAAACAGATAAGTTAAAGATTAACTAAATTTAACTGAAATGTCCTCATTTAATATCATCAGTTGTTATTTCTTAATGAACAAATGGGAAGGTGACCTCCTAGGAGACTAAATAAGCAAAGATTCATCAAGAACTAAAAAGCTTCGGAACAGGGCCAACCAGATAGCTCAGCGTATTCAAGTGCCTGCTTAGGCAGATGCAGGGACCAGCGGCCCAGGGTTTGATCCCTGATGTGCCAGCCCCGGCCCCAGCATGCCCTGAGACAGTGATAGAGACTGGGCGTAGTGGAGCACACCTGTAATCCCAGCACTTTGAAGGCTGAAAGCAGGAGAACCACTATGAGACTGATCTACGTAGGGACTTTAAAAAAAAAAAAAAAAAAAAAAAAAAAAAAAGCTTTGGAACAATAAATTCAATACAATTTAGCTGTTTTAACTTAGTCAAATAAGACAGAATACAAAGCTGGCCAAACAGGTATATCCAGGAGTATACAAGAACTTTAACTCATTTACCTGACAGATTTTTTTAAAGTGTGCTACATTTTTTTTAGGACAGGGTATACAGGGTATATAGGGTTTCACTGTGTAGATCGGACTTGTAGTGATCCTCCTGTTTACAGCCTCCCAAGTGCTGGGATTGTAGGCATGTGCAACCACACCCAGTCTCAATTGCTGTCTCAGTGGCGAGGTGGAGGAGTGGGGGGTGAGGGGCTGTGCAGGTCCAGGGATTGAACTCCCCTGCCCCTGCATCTGCCTAAGCAGGTGCTTTAATCTGCTGAATTATTTGGCCGGCCCTCATGACAAAATTTAGAAAGCAGAGTCCTGTACTAACATTTGGTAGGTTGGTGAAATTTCAAATAATTTCATGAAATTATGTCAAGGCTATTAGAAGATTAGATGAGATGTTTATTTAACTTTTGTTTTTTTTTTCCTTTCTTTGTTTTTTCCTCTGTAATTTTACTGAGAAACAAATAGCAATGAGACAGTTTCAAATCAAATTGGTAGGACAGTTCCAATAATTAACACATTGCATACTCTCTGCCTAGAGGTTATTTGCTGTACGAGACGTGGACATGATATCCTATTTACAAACACTATTAGAACAACTCCCTCTACTCATTAAGAGAATGTAACTATATATCTATCCTAACCACTTTGAATACACAGATACAAAATGGACATTCATCTGTATCCCCTTTTTTTGTTTAGTTCCATCATTTGAATATTATAGGTGTGTTAACTCAGCAAAATATTCTAAAAGAGTCCAGTAGTCCATAATAGTATTGGGTCTTCCTCTTGACTGGCAGTGTCAGAAATTGTTGACAAGAGTCCCCTACAGCTCAACCTAACACCATGGCTTTACTTCTTATACTTCATTTTCATACTTTTCTGCTGGTTGGTTAAGACTAAGATAAAGCAAGACCTATGCAACAAAAGTTGTAGCTTTTGGATCTGATAAGGTCAGTCAAATTCCCCCAGAATTTATCCTGAGATCCTGTACCTCAGATTGTAGATCCTTTGTCAGTGTCAGCCATGTGGATGAGTTTAGCTTTAATTTGAAGTTGTGTTATTTCAGTGCTAACTTTACATAAATTTTACTGAATCAAAAATATGTAGGATTCTATTCTTTGTCAATTTTGTCTAGCCAAAGGCAGGTAAAGATCATCACGTGACTCTTTCTTGGTCCACTGCTCTACCATGTATATTCGCTGACTGGGTATTCACAGGCACAGTGCCCAGCGTGGGGTGTGTCATACTGTTGGCTTTTTATGATCACTGCTGGAACTGTACTTGACATTATTTGCTATCTTTTTTTCTTTGTATGTTATCTTCCTATAGATTGAAGATGTGAAATTCCATCATTCTTATCTTTGTATCCCATGTCTTGTACCTAAATCTTGTTAAGAACTCAACCAATATAATTTGGAAAGCTGTTTCTGTGATTATGTCTCATAAAAATAGTCAACACATGTAGAAAATTTATAAATAAATAAACATGTCATAAAAAATATGTAGGATTCAACTAGATCATTAATGCACATAATTACATTTGTTATATACTTTTCATGTTAGACCCAATTTTACAAAATAAAGCATGACAGTTGTATCCCATAAAATCTTACAAAATAAAAACTGATAAGTACTATACATTTTGAATTGTTAAGGTTAGCAGGAAAAAAATGTCAGAAGAACTTGAGAGATACTATATTCTAGATATTGAGGAAGAAATATCAAAGAAAGGAACTATAGCTGACACTTACATACAAATAAATATAAATCCAGTCAGCGATCTATGTTTACATGTTTTATTTATTTATTTTTGGTACTGGGAATTGAACTCATGATGGTACACTTGCCAGGCAGGCACTGTGTTGCTGAGCTATATTCCCAGCCCTACATGTTCTATTTCAATGCTTAAAACTACTTATATTTTTGTGGTGTCTTAAGCCTTAAAAGAAATACTTTTGTAGGAAAGATAACTCTCCAACTTTAAGGAATTTCTCTCAAATTTCACCAACAGAAATAAAGAAAAAAAAAAAAAAGGAAGGAAGGAAGGAAGGAATACTGTTATGGATTAAATATTTGTGTTCCTCCCAAATTTCATACAGAATATCTGATGTCCTAATATAACAGTATCTGGAGATGATGCACGGGACAGGTAGCTAGCATTAGATTAGATCATGAGTAGAGGACCCTCATTAATGGGATTAGTGGCCTTATGAAGGAGGCAGGACCACTGCCATCACCACTGCCACCACTGCTTCTCTGGGAACACAGAAACAAGGTCATGTGTAACCCAGGAAGAAAGCCCTCATCAAACCCAAACCATTCCAGACCTTTATCTTAAGACTTTTAAGACTTCCAATACTACAGTATGAGAAAATAGATTTCTGTTAAGCCACTCAATGTGGTACTTTTGTTATGGCATGCTGAGTACACTAACAGACATATATCCCTTTAAGCAAATGCTATAGGTAATAATGGTTAGTACCTCCCCTCATAGGAAGGGGCATGGCCCAGTTTTGTTCTGGCTCTATGGCATAACAGGCTCAAAAGCAGTAGCCTCAATTATTTCATCTCTTGGTATAGATCATTTTCTAAGGTCTACCCTGTTGGCTATACTCTTCTTGACTGACTTGACATTAGCCTGTGGGAGATGCTGAAAACTCATCTTTTACAGCAGCTTCAGGAGAAGTGAGGAAAATCTGAGTTCACAATCACTACAGAATGAATCTTCAAATTCACGGCAAAGCTAGGTCACATTACCACTTTTGGTGAATATACTCAATATTAATCCTGGATTCATCCACTAACGGAGCAGTTAATCAAAGCAAAGAAAAAACATACAAATAACATCTGGAAAGGAATTTGTTTTTGTGGTTAATTATAATATAGAAGGGACATGAGTTAAAAATATGTTGAATTAAAAAGTAGGGGTAGTGATCAAATACAAAATAAATGGCCATGCCTCTTTTCTGTTTAAAAAGATGTAACAGATAATTTAATAGCACATATTATAGTTTTAAAAGTACTTTAAAATAAACTCTGAAGTCCTGAATCATATAAAAAACCAAGTCATATAAATATATACACAACAGATTT